GTTAAGGCAAATGGCTATGGCTCCATTATGCATGCAGTCCGCAGACGTATCTCGGATCAGTTTATTGGCAAGAACTGAACCACGTTCAAAAAAGACATTTTTGGAGCTAATATTTTCTCCACAAGTAGAATATGAATATTTCGCTTCTCTGGGATAACAATTGGTTAAATATGTCACCAGCACAGCGGCAGATCAAAGGCAGTTCGTTTGACACGAAACTTGCACCGTTGGACCAGAAATTGGAACCATCAGAGCGTTCGTCCGCTTCTGTGTCACGTGAAAGAAGAGAACCAACCCTTGGCAAGGACAATAACTTGAAATTTACGATGTGGTCTTAAAAGTCGATGCAGCAAATTACGAAAGCCGGTATCGATGGGTTAGAAATTTTTTATAACCTCAGAGGTATCAATCCATATTTCCAATGGTATTTGAAGCGCATTAACAGACTTTTCATCAACAGCTGGTGACAGACAGGCCATTGCTGTAGCAATTAAAATGGTGCATTGGAAGCACGCCAGCACTCTTGAACCATGGCTTGCGTAAATGGACCCTAGGTGTCTAGGGACAACGAAACGTAAACGGAGCCGGCTAAACCGGTGAGAACGAGTGATAGCAACAATACGCATAGAGAAGAGCACGAACGGCATGGAGCACTCTTGTCAGTCAGTCAATCAGTGAGTTCGATGACTGCTTATTCACTCGGGTCGAGGAGATAGACGAGTCATATAATGTCTTCATCGTCACTCATCCTGAGCTAGCGTTTAAGTTTCAGGAGAATATAACCAGACTCGGCATCAGAGACGTTCGAAACAGTTGCTTCCGGTCATTCTTGAACATCGTCATGGCCTTCGGCCGGTCAGTTGAGCAACTAGTACCCATTTCGCCTTCGTACCTAGTGGCATTCGAAATACGTGACCACACTACTGCAGCTGAAGCTTCTCAGTCCGAGGAAGCAGCGGCTTTACGATTGGGCTCTTTCACAGAAGTGGCCTCCCGAGCAAGTAGAAGCACGTGAAACCAACCTCTCAGGAAGCATATTTCAGCCGCTTGTTCCCGGGACCGAAATTTCTCCGGTCCACGACTTAAGACCGTAGGGGAGAATGAAAGACGAAGTTCAACTTGAACACAGACAGCATAAGATTCAGATTCAACTTTGCGCTTGTCACAACTTTTCAGACCGGTTGGAATTTGGCCATTGGAATTTGCCGGTCGATATCGTCTTCCTCCAATTTTCCATCACCAGCAGACACGATCCCGAGGTAAAAGAATTTTTCGACGTGTTCCCCTGTTTCTTCAAGTATCTGCAGGGCGCGACGGGTAGGACACCGAGAAAATGCTAGGTTTTGGGTTTGTTTGGTTTCGCACAGGTTCACACGCATACCAACATGTCGCCCTCGGCTGAAAACCTTTCCGGAGAGTGCTTCAGACATGATTTGAAAGATGCCAACACGACAGGGTCTCTGAATACAGCAAATTTATCATCTCCACTTCTCCAGCTCTTCGCGTTGGCCGTCCTATGACCATACCATTAGGGGGGACATGACGCAGCTTTGGCAGAGACCGGGGCCGACATTAAAAATTTCGATTTCAATCAGCTTTGACGCAGCATTCCCTATCAACGTATGGTGACTGGACGGTTCGCAGCAAGTGGCCATCGACCCACATGCTTAGAATGACCACAGCTTGGTACGCAGGATCTGATCATAAGCTTTCTTCGCGCTAATGAAAAAAAACTAAAGAAGAGCAAACTCCTACAAATTTCTGAATAATCTTGTGTAAGGCGAAGATCTAGTCAAAGATGCGGCCTTACCGTAAGTAACACGGCTCTTCTTGGATCCAGGAGTCAAATACTCTGCGGCACCTCCTCTTTAACACCTCTGCGCAGACTTCCTGAACGGCTTAGTGAAGTGTTCCCCCACACCGATAATTGCAGCAGTCCCTATGATCCCTCTTCTTAGACAAGGGTGCTATCATCCCAGTATTCCAGTTCATCGATGACTTCCCCGTAGCAACTGCACTATAACAGACAGGTATTAGCCACAACATGCATTGTTTTCCTATTGTTTTACACATTTCAGTGCATCGATTCCAGCAGTCTTCAAACTTTTCAAGTGTTCTACAACTTCTGTGACTTCGCCTACTGAAACAAAAATATCTGTGCCCGTTGCACTTCACCCGAGTCTTGCTGCGGTTGCTGGAGGTTAATAATTTCCTCAAACCGCTCGTATCATCGCCGAGGCATATCCCATTCCTTATTGAGGAGGCACACGCAACTGTTGTTTAGGAGTTTTAGACTACCATTCATTCTATCTCGAAGGCGGTAGACAGTCTGACAGTTTTCTAAGCTACTTTGCCTACCTTCCGGAAATTCCACAACATCATCTCACCGAACGTTTCACAGGAATAAGCTTTTGCCGTCGCTTTGCCTGCTTTAACGTTCAGTAATGGAATCGAAGGCCCTATGCTTTCGAGCCACCTATTGAATGCAGTCTTGTTCTTGCTGACAGTCGGCTGAACGTATGGTGTCCACAAAGATGTTCGTTTCTGACCTTCATACGACTGGCGAGAATGTTTCAAACTGCAATATTAGACGATTGCTTGAGTAAGCTACTTTTAAAGAACTATTCATCAGTTTCCGTGTCAGCTATCATCATTGGATCTGTTCAAGCCGTCAGGCGATGCTATTTGCAGTTTTCGCTTTCGCATCCACCGAAGATAATGTTTTCCATTTGATTCTGCGGTTGCTTCTGCCACCCGATCTTCGTATGGTACTCCATTTCTTACAGCGTAGCGTGCCAACAACAAGCGATGATGATCGGTTGATGGCTCTACGCCTCTTTTAAATCGAAAGTGCATTACTGAGCGTCTACGATACGATTATAAACGATTATACGATTATAAACGATTATAAGATTATTATAACGATTAGACGACAGGATAATACGATTATAAAATCGATCGTCGGCTTCTGTGCACAAGCCTCCTTGTACCAGGTATACCGATGCACCTTTCGATGCTCGAAGAAGGAGTTCATAATAGACAATCCGTTGTTTGCTCAAAACCACAATAATTTCATGCCGTTGTTGTTGAGGTCGCTAGGCCGTTTTTTCCAATCATGCCGTACCACTTTTTATCGTCCTCTCCGACATGCTTAGTAGAATCGCCCATGAAAATGCAGAACTCCGTATTCGGCACCTCCTACACTGCAATTAGGAAGGACACATTTTCCCTCCAAATTTAGCGCACGAACCTGTAGTAGTGGGAAACCTTTAACCAGACGTAATTTCAGCCAAGTGATTGCCACTCTTAGATAATGATTGTACCAGTCAGGTTGTACCGAAAACCTAACACCCACATGAGGGCGGGTCGTGCCGACATCGACATCTAAACAGAGTAACCTCAGCAGAAGAAGCTTAAGATTTCAGGGACCTGACCCGTCGCTTACAACAGTGCAACTGCGTCCAGTCGGTCCCTTTGTGCCTCATCAATCAGGTCCTGTTCTTTCTCTCTGAGTGAGGAGGTGTTCCAACTTCTGACTGTCAGCTCCCACTCTCAGAACCGTATCTGACGTGCTGAAATGGCATCGCGCTCTCTGCTCTCCTCCGTTCAGAACTGATAAATACTCCGCTGCTAACTGGTGTTCTAATCATCTTCATGTGGATCTTCGGCAGCGTCACCATGCTGCTGCCTACCCAGCCTCGAAAAGACGTTAAGCAGGTGCGATCACCCTCTTTTCGAAGTCTTCTTCAGTTCCCTAAAGGCATACGTGGTCCTGAGTAAACCGAACAAAGACAGAGGCGGTACAACGTTCGATGGCGACAGTACCATCGCTACGTTTCCCAACCCTCTTCCATTCTGATTCGGGCTCAGGACCGGCAGCGGTGAATTTGGAAAACTTTTGAAAGATTTAAAATATTCCTATCACTTTCATGCCATTTTTACTCACCTGTTAATTTCGTTAATTCGGGCTTTCCGTTTCAGAAATGACCGGCACCAGGTGAAAACAGTTTTTTTTCATTTATTCA